AGGACTTAGCCACTTGTCAATCACTAGCCATTTGCTAAGCATTTCAGCTTTCCGTTAGTTTATCATTTTTTTACGGCACACTGTTTTTATTCCTTCCAACTCTGGATTTTCCTGTTAGTTGCTTTATCTTTTCCCCCATAAAACCTCTATTCACCATCCAACCCGTGTTCTTTGAGGCCTTTTTGCGGAGCGCTTGCAGCAGTAAGATCCGTGTCGAGAATTTCTTTTGCGAGAGGTATATGTTAGTCCCGAATCATACAGAGGGGTAGACTTTGCCCTGCCTACGTTCGTTACTGACCTGTTCCATGGAGCGAAAACCAACATTAACGCTAAAACTAACACAGTGTTTACGGAGAAAATGTTGTATATTGTCGAATTATGTGGCTTGCAAACATATTTGCATGATATATCGGAGTTGCTGGCTGCTTCCGTCATTCCAGCAAATAGTCCGGTCTATTTCTACATCTAAAGGTAATAGGCAGTAGCTTCGAAGACCCCAAAACATTTGTCATCTACAAAACCAGGGCATACCGGCTGGGAGGTAAGTGGAGGCACCATCAGTCATTAGCTGGACAAAGGTTATGCCCTCGTCAATGTCCTCAACGTCCATTAGGCTTAATGATAATGCATGCGTTGCCTGCGGCGCAAACTCGTTACATCCGAGATTAGACCTGCGGCGCAAGACATTTGGTTGCATGGACGTTGGATTTGTTGCCCTTCTCATTAGGTTTATAGGGAATATTCGGAAGGGCGGGAGATTACTAGCGTAAGATGAGTTTGAATCGAGGTCTGCCTTCTACTTTGCTACCAAGCACTTGCAATTTTGTGGTAATGTGGATCTATGAGAAGAGCTGTTGGGAGCATAAAAAGAAAATGCGCTGTTTCATGAACTATTGACCGAACTTCTGAAAAAAACCTAAAGTAGGGTTATAATATTAATCGTCATACAGCCCAACCTCAATATAGTTCAGTTAAGTCAGCATACCGGATTTCTGACGAGTTTCTTTCTATCCACCGGAAAACACCGTATTTTCTGGACTATACGGTCCACTTGCAAGCCTTTGATTTTCTCCAAAAATGACAGTTCGCCTTATAACCCGGAGCTCCTTATATATCTACTAATTCTGGTTGTTTACCTCCAAACGGCTTGATTTATAAGTTGTTCTGGATTATAAGGCTCATTGCCGTTTTGAGGGAATAAGAGACGTCTAAGTGCGCCTTATGGTCCGGGAAATATGGAATATCACTCTGTAAAGCAGGAATGCATAAGTAGTAACACTGTTTTTTTTTCATTGATTTTCAATGCTCTGATAACTTCAAATATAGTTTGTAGAAAACACACCAACAATATTCTTTGTTGTAATAACTTGTTGGCAAAGTATGTCTTCTTAAAATTTTATCACTGCAGATATAATATTTTATCTGTTTAAACACTTTTAAAATTGCCGGACAATTTTGGACCTGACTGGCCGGCAACAATTTTATTCAGGAATTCCCAATTACTTCCTGTATACATTTTGTCTGAGAAATCAACATCTTCTCTACGTCACAGATTACTTAAAATGTTCTGCAATGAAGCTTGTCTACGTCGTATACTGTATAAGCAGCATTCATAAATTGACAGATACGATGCCTTATGAAAATGACCTAAGAAATGGGGAGCAAAGGCTATGGACCACCTCTTTGCCAGTTGAGACCGTATATTACACAAAAATTGACGCTGTAGGAAATTTGGATATACACTTCCTTTTAAAGCTGTGACCTGAATTCTCAATAATTAAGAAGCATTTGTTGAGCTTCTCTTCAGTTTCTCTAGAAATGCGCATTAGCAACTGGCATTTTAGGGTCATTGGTTGACACTTTGCGCTTCTATTTTTGTAAGTTATTTTGCCCCGATCTCACAAGTAGTTTTGTTGAGACCCCGCCACACATTGTTTTAACAAATTCGGTTTACCGCAGCCTACAGTTTAACAGGTTTGCTCTTCCTCACGCGTGAATTCCTACTTGTGCGTCATATCCACTGTCGTACCACTGACTCAGTGTCGCTCCGGTCGTACCGCTGACTAAAGTACCATGGATATTTTCCAAAGCTTTCTCATTAAGAGCGCCATTTACGGAAAATATTGTCATACACTAAGCCACAATGCGAACACAACCCACCTTTAGAGGACGTTAAGTCGCTTATGCTTATGAAAAACAGTGTTAGTTTTGCAAAAACACACGTGGCAGTTATAGTCACTTCACTTTATGTCTAGCGAATACGCACAGTCAGTGAGCGAGCTCATGCAACGTTAACCAACATTTTAGAATGCGTTTTAGTTTAAGAAATATTACTCAAGTGGAATGTTAATATTTTTTATCATGGGGTCTAATTCCAAGATATTTAAGATAGCCCGTGAGGCCGGCTCTGAACATACGCCTTTTCGATCTCTTGAAAGTAAACTCATTACTAAAAAACGGCAACATATGTAGTCTGCATTTTGTACATAGGTTTTTGATATCCTTAGAAATTCAACCATATTTTATAGAACTTACAAACAAAAACATTTTTGAACTCATTTGATAACAAATCACATCTCCAACTTCTTGAGCCTAATAAGGGCCATGTTTTTATCTTTAAAAATGTATCTGATTGTAAAATGCTTGAGGCTGTACAATGCTCATTGTATCTGTACATTTATTACTGTCCATCCGTATCAGTTATAAAGAATATTATATTACATCATAAAGAGTGGCGTAGAGCCTGTAGACTGAAAACCCTAAAATTAAATGCAACGGCAGATAGGGCTCAATATTATCGAAAACTGGGAACTAGAAAATACTTTTAGAAGAAATATACCCCCTCTTTGCATATAATCAAACGGGCACAAGAAAGAATATTTTTGCTCATGTTTTCTATAAAACATTTTGAAAGTTTTAAGGGTGTTAAAAAATGTTAAAAATATATTCTACTGAAGAAGTAATGTTTTATCGAGGGAGGTTGGACAGACGTTCGTTAATAGCTGGAAGCCATTGTGTGACTGAAATATCTTGAAATTTTGCTCCAAGGTAAAAAATTTGCACACCTAAGTAATAATCTTTAACCTAAAACACACGTTTAATACATGGTTGGCATTGTCTGAGTTCAGTCACTGGCTGTATTAACCAGCATGTTCAGCTACTAGAAATTGGCACAGGAAGGACAAACCACTGGTTTTCTGAAATTTACAATCAGAACTATCTACCTCGAAATGTGTTCTCGTGGAAAATAACTTGCCTGGCTGCTCGAAATCTGGATACATTTCCCGAACGAGCTCTCGGGCCTCCAGTGAGTATTCGTTGGCTGTTGCTGCTGCGGCCTTGGCCTTCTCCACATAGTCCAAGATCGTGCTACTCACTCTGAATAATGCAAGGAAGATGAGGGATGAAATTAGCAAAGGCCGCGGTTAAATGAAAAAGGTTTAAACTAAACGAGAATGCTGTAGCCTAATCGCATGGAGATGGTGCGGCTCTCTCTCTCTCTCTCGGGCTCAAACCAGTCTCTCTATCCACATGTCTGGGAGCTTCAGTATCGCCGAAATTTAGGCCGCTCCCTGTTTAACTGAATAATGGCATGACCTTCACCAGCCCCTAAAGAAAATCGGCAACTAACTCTTGCTGAAACAAGCTATGAGCTATCTTCATTGAATAACGGCTATGCCGATTCCGTCTTTGTGATTTTCTCTGTGAAAGTATTATAAGAAAGAGAATAAATCGTCTTGGTCCCAAAAGATTGTGTATGTTCACCTTAGTAACCCATTCTTAGCATGGAGTGTTACTTCATGTGACGCTCAGCGAGCCCGTAGTGACCCTGTAGCGCCCTTCACCATGCCCGCCATGCATGAGGTCACGTGATTGCAGTCTCGGTCAACCGTGGGACAGACAGTCAAGGGTGACGAAAACTGCGCTAACGCTCAATGTCTCGCGATGGCTAATAAGTGCGGACACACCAAAGCCTGTCTCCCCGAATCCGTCTGGCTAATCATATTCCAAAGATGACTCAGACAAAGACCGCTCCTGACGCTTATGATGATTCCCGCGCTGAAGCACTCACGGCCGGAGGTGAACTAGTCCGACAGTCAACGTCCTCCCACCTATTCTCTACTTCTTCTGTATAGAATAAACTATTCCTTCCACCTGGCGTCTTTCTGCTTCTCATTCCCTACCAAACTGGACCTGAAGATCGCCCTGGCACGGGTATCACTTATTAACCTAACCCCTGTGATAAGCCTTCGTTGTT